GGCTCCTCTAGGATGACTCAGGAGTCAGTATCTCCACAGGACAGGAGCAGACCAACTCTGTGTCTGCCCCAGCCCACAGGACCAGGCAGGGGAGGAAGGGAAGTGGAATTCCGGAGGGGCGGGGTTTGGGTAGCTGCTGTGCCCTGAATGTCCCTGGCTCCCAGATGTATCTCTTGGGCTTAGGGAGTGAGATGGAGTTCTTACCGGCTGCTCTGAGTGCAGTGGCTCCTCTAGGATGACTCAGGAGTCAGTATCTCCACAAGGCAGGAGCAGACCAACTCTGTGTCTGCCCCAGTTAAACGTTTTTGAAACACCTTCATAGTCACACCCAGAGGTATATTTCTATGGTGATTCTAAATATAATCAAATTGACAGTGAATATTAATCATTGCGAACTACACAGTCCAGTTGTAGAGATCCCTCCTAGTGAGAGTAGTGTTTGCAGAAACATCATCTATGTACTCATTCATGGGCTGAGATACAAATGTACTGCAGACCCCTGAGGCAGAGCCCATCTCTTTTCATACTACTTAGAGAAACCCAGAGTAAAGGCTCCCTGCAAGTGAAGAGAACTTTCTGTAGCAAAAAAACTACAAAGATCAGGTTGTTTGTGTCCAACACCTTCCTTAATCTTATTGATTAGAAAACTCATACCTTACCTCTTAGGGAGAATAATAAGTGCAAGGAAAAGCAGCAATAGACAGTTTTTGCTAGTCCTTCCATTACTAAAAGTACCACCTTTATGAATCAAGGTAGAAATGTCTATGGGAGAGGTGGGTGTTTCTCTCCATCCACCACAATATAGCATTTTTTACTGTGACTTCTCCCATCAAATCTCACATCTACACTTGCCTTTACCTTTGCTGGATGGAAGGCATCCATTCCCCCTGTATAATGTTCTAGGGAGTGAGTAATATGTGTTGATTGTGGCAGAACATGAGACCAAATCACTCTGTTACCCTCACAGGTTATGACAAACATGTAGTGCTTTATAGCTCTGAGCAATGTGTACCTCAGAAGAAAATTGTCACCATGAGAAGGAAAATAGAGGCTTTCCAAGGTGGGGACAACTGAGGATCTCTGTTGAAATAATTATTTAAAACGGCCGCTCGTCAAGCCGACTATCCAAGCTGCAGTGAATCGCCCTAGCTCAGCCACTATGTTTCTCAGCTGGAGGCCACGTGCGCACCCACAGCTAGAAACAGTCAATCAGAAACACCAGCCCTGCCACCCATGATACGTTAGTGTGAGAGATAGCTCAATCTCCCACACTGTGTCCGCAAGGCTGGGCACTGCCCAGACCATCCCGCCATCCACGTGGACCCAGTAGGAAAATGAGACTCTAATGTTTAAATTATCCAAAAGCTTATATATTTGGTAATGATCAGTAACAAGTTCCCCATAATCAGAAGTGTAACCCAATACCCAACCTAGATATCCCAACTACCTTTGACTGCTAAGACATGTGAACATCCTCCTCCATCTCTTCTCTCTCTCCCTAGCTGCTCCTCTTCCTTTTCCTCTTCCTCTCCTTATTTCTCCCACCTTAGCTCCTCCTACAGATCTCCCTATCTAACAATGTTCTTATGATCCTTGGTGATAGCACAGAAAAAAGATGAGGCCAAGTTCAGTTGAGATTCCCTCTTCTCAAGTGATTGGAGCTTGTGTCAAGTTGACATAAAACTAGCCAGCACAAGTTTATTGTCCTGGTTTCAGTTCATGTTATTGTTAGTTTTTGAGACAGCGTTATCTCAATTTGTTTTCCATTATAATAACAAAATGTTTGAAGCTTGATGTTTCATAAAGAAAAGAGATTTGTTTTGGATCACAGTTTTTGGAGGCATAGTAGTTGAAGAGCATAGTATCAGCATTCCCTTGGCTTCTGGTGAGGTACTCATGATGCAGGGAGAAAAGAAGAAGAAAAGTGGGCACATATGAAAGGTCATGTGTATGTGAGGCAGGGAAAGCTGATCCACACTCTTACCACATCTTTATAGTAAATAATCCAATCCCAGAAAGTGTAGCTTGGGGCCAGTAGGGTGATTCATTCATTGTATAAAGGCATTTGCCACCCAAATCTGGAAACGTGTTTGGTGCCAGGAGCCCATATAAAGGTGAAAGGAGAGACGTGACTCCACAGAATTGTCCTCTGACCTCACATGTGCACCACGGCATGGACACACAGGGACACACACACATACACGCCCTCTCACGCGTGCGCACACACACGTCTTTTGTTGAATAATCATATCCAAACCATGTTACTATCCTGTCCTAAACATTGTCAGAAAACACAGATGAATTTTGGGCAGGGTATTAGCAGGTAGATTTCTTAAAATATTTCTCTTTTTTCCAAGAATATCTTGCAGGTATCATGTATTTCTTTCAAGATGACATTGGGGTATATATTCTAAACCCTACAATAAGGATGAAGATAATTAGTTTCCTGGAACAAAATTTCTAATGAAAAGTTCTGTGATCAAGCTCAGTATCTGTTATGCCTTATTTTGGTTTTCCAGGATAACTTCAAAAACATATCCACAGTCTCCAAAGACAGTGAAGCCCACATACATAGGGTCTCCTGTAAAGTATTACTTTCCACCCATTTCAAGTGAAGAAACACCCAAGAAGAAGGCAGAGAAGGAAAAGAGTAATAAGGAAAAGGAAGGTGTCACTGGCCAGCAGGCCACTGTCCTACCCAGAGAAGAAACTCTAGAGAAGCACATGACTGACAAGTATGCCACTGAGAAGTATGTAGCTGATAAGCATGCAACTGAGAAACATTCTACCACTGGAGGGAAGGCTGAGCACAGTGCAGGTAAACCTCTGTTGATGTTGCCAGTTAGACTTAACTTTCCCCTCATGGTTCTCCCTCTATATACCAGGCTCTCATGATTTTGGTTTTTCCCCCAGGACAACTTTATCCCCTTGTACTGCTTTCTCAGGCTTGCTCATAATTTTTAACTCCTTCTTTCTTTCTGATGAGACCTAGACCTTGACTCCCACTTATGGCTGTAAGATTTCATAGGAGTGCTACGATGAGCCATATACAGCCTTTATGTGCAATTCTGCATGACAAAGCACTAGCTTTAGTCCTTAAAGTCTCTGTCATTCAGTGAGTTCATTAATAAGGTAGTATTGTAGGATTTGCTTGTAGCCCTGTACTCAACTATTTCCTGCCCCTCCTGAGGAGTGAATACACCCAGGGTCAAGCTAGCTCATTGCAGCTTCTTCTGCTTAGTGACTAGTTTTAGTACTGTTTTGCAGTGTTTGCCATCACCATACTGAGATAGTGTTGTGTCCATTTCTATGTGAGTGGACTCATTGTGTTCATTCCCCCTGATCTTTTTATGTATTTACTTTTTGCTACCATTTCCTGCCTGCCTCAGGAAAACCCACAGCAGGCACCACTGATGCAGGGGAGGCTGCAAAGATCCTAGCTGAAAAGAGACGTAAGGCTCGACTACAGAAGGAACAAGAGGAGCAAGAACGACTGGAGAAGGAAGAACAAGAGAGGTATGCAGGCACTTAGACTTGTATGATCTGTTGTAAAGGTGGGGTTGGAAAAATATCTTGCTTTTCTTTTTACAATTTTAATATTGCCAAAACCTGGACAGAAGTATTGGAATCTAGATTGTATGGACTACAGGGTAGGTGTTTAGGAGACTGCATCTTCTATATGTTATTAAGAGTTGCTTTTTTTCTGAAGACCTAGAAACTCACATTTCCAGGATCTAAATGTTACAGGTACCTTCTTTCCCTTCTTAGAAATAGAAATGAGGGAACTCTAGTAGAACTATAAAGAGAGTTTGAATTTTTATGATAGAGTATCCATGGAAAAAAAAGAAGATTCTGGAGAGAGATCTTGACTCTGCTTCCCAAATGATCCCAGTTTGTGCTCAAAAGTCAGAGAGGAAAGAGTCAGAGTCCCAGAGATAAGGGGCTAGAGAGAAGAGCCACTTCCCTAGCCCATGAGAATGAGTTATGTGGAAATCCTCACCTGCAGCAAGACAAAGGATGTGGTTCTCTAAATGTTGGAGAGTGTCTTATCAAAAGTGTCTGGGGAACATAGTGGAAATGTGCTTGCTCTAGTCTCATTCTACTTTAGCAGTCCATCAGTGTTTGGAAGCCACTGTGATGATAGTACTAAAACACTTCTGTGATACTGGTAGTCCTGCTTTTTCTCATCTTTGTGTTCAGAAAGGAAACACATCGTTAAAAGACAAGGTCAATTTAATCACTACCAAGGGAAAGAATGCTCTTGGGATAATCACAGAGTACAACCCTGTACCATTTAGAGAATAAGAACATGACAGGAAGCAAGCAGTGCTGTAGCACAATTTAAGATAACAAATAATAAAATATTCCTGATCCTTTAGAACCTTATAAAAAATCTTTGTGGTTTCTGATTAAATTTTTGTTGATCTATTTTTTTTAACAGTTGGGTTATAGGTCCCTTCTTCTTCTGAACATCTCTTATATTTTTCTTACTCCAGTTTTATGATCAATATCATGTTTTGTTATTGTTGGATGATGTGTTCAAGAGGGTTTGGGTGGGCTGGAAGTTAAGTAAGGGAAATGACAGGTTATAAATCATGGGATTTCAAATGACAGATTGGTAAAGGTGGCCATCAGAGCAGGTGAGTGAACTGCTTGTTGCTATATACTTAAGAACTGATTGTTTACCTTCTAGCTACTTTCTTCTCTCTCATTATTTCCTTCACAGCCTAGCTGCAGTATGAATTCATTAGCTCCTGTCTTTATTTTCCCAAGTCAAAGTCTTCACACTGCTACTCATCCTCCAATCTTTCATTACTCAACTCTTAATTTGATTCTTGGTTTCCTTTGGCACCATGGGACTTGTTCTTGTTTTTATTTTTTTGTCTTTCCTTCATCTCTCCTAAATGTTGCCTGGACTCCAAGCCCTTAGTCCTTAACTAGCTTTTGCCTGACAAGTCTCCCCTGCACACAGTGTTGCTGGCTATTGTCCCTGACATCCTTTCAGTTTCCTCTGGTTTCAAAATATTTATGACTGACAGTTGATGCAGCAGTTTCATGCTTAGCCACGAACTTGTTCTCATTTCCTTTCCTGAGTCCATTTCCTTGTTACCTTGTGTTTATCACCTATTTCTGAAGCTAACTGTAGCTTTGTTTTGTAAACCTTCTATAACTTTTTGCAATACACTGAAGACTCCTGAATCTGTGCTTGTGCCCTGAATTTACTCTAAAGCTGCATTGTTTTATACCATAACATCTAGATATATGTGAATTGAGGAAAGTTCAATTCCTTAACCTTATTAGCCACATATCATTGTTTATCACCACACAACATCATTTTATAAGTCATTTCCTTATTTCAGAAAGTTGTTAGCATTTGTCTATAAGGCAAATCCTATATTTTCAAATATCTTTTACTGTCTCATATTTACCTCAAATTCAACATTTCAAAGGCATAAATTAGTATATGTCACTCAGAATTCATGTTCATTTCATGCACTCTGTACTCCCATCTACCCCATTCCTGACATCTCAGAGCTACTTTCAATGTTTCTGTCATCCTTCACATCACATCAGTTATCAGTTAAGTCTTCATTGGCTCTCATATTAACATTCTCCCCATGCTCCTCCAGCACCAGATAGGTCATTTAGTCTATGTCTCTAGAATCTTAGTTGAGTGTTAGAGATCTCCCAGAGCTGCTTGCTGTCCATGCTGTTTCCAGAGTGACTTTTCTTAAATAAATGCGATTGTCCTTGTTAGTGATTCTTTTGACTACAGGGTCTATCGAATTCCACTAAGTCTACCACGGACTAAACACTCCTTACCCCTCTGCCTTCTCTGTCTAGGCCAGTCTGCAAACCTCCTCATATGTTCCAGTATGCAGCTCCACAACTACAAAAACCTTTCTTTTGCTGTGCCTCCACGTGAACTCATGCTCCTTGCCATGTGATGAGTCTTTCTTTCTCAAGCTGGAGGTCAAAAAATTCCTGCTGGCATTTCTGGACCTGTATTCGAGAGAGAGCTGATCTATTCCTCTTTACCCCTTGAGCTTAGCTTCCAGATGACTAACATAGCCTCATTTGTCTACAGATTGTCTCCCTTTTCTGACTAACATTTTTTAAAAAGATTTATTTATTTTATGTGTATGAGTACACTGTTGCTGTCTTCAGATACACCAGAAGAGGGCATCCTGATCCTATTGCAGATGTTTGTGAGCTACCATGTGGTTGCTAGGAATTGAACTCAGGACCTCTGGAAGAGCAGTCAGTGCTCTTAACCTCTGAGCCATCTCTCCAGCCCTCTGGCTAACATTTAAAAGGTCAGAGTACAGTCTTTGATCACTGTTGCTTGGTGCCCAGTGAAGAGGAAGAAGCTCAACTAAAATGCCACCAGTGACAGCAGTGGGTTAAGTGGACTCACAGGTTAAAATTTTGTGGTGAAGGCAGAAGAAGATGGTGTATACATACTGAGACAAGTAAAAAGAAAGGGGAAAATTTTGGAGGCGATGCTAAGGTTTAATTTGAAGTATTTAGGAGGATGGTATACCCAAATAATAGACCATGGAAAGGCAAAAAAGAAAAGGTCTGAAAAGCTAAAAATTAACCATCTGATTTTAGATAAACATAAGTGCCTGCAGAACATACAGGTAGTTGGAAATCAAATAGAAGCCTGAGGCCAAGATGAAATTGAGATGAATACACTTAACTCCAAATCAGTTTTCCTCTCTCTTGCCAGAATGTGAAGTGTTGATAGTGCCACCCGCAAAGTGAGAAAGGAAAGTACCAGACAGCCTGAGGCTGGAACACAGCGGACATCTCCTGGAGTAGGATCATCCTCACATATGTTTTGTTTAGTGTCAATAGTTAAAGTCACAGAACTGTGGTTACCAGTTGAGAAAATGTAGCAAAAAATAAATAAATAAAGATACTTGTGATAAACTCTGGAAAGCCCAGTTATTGTCAGTAGCTTTTGAGGCAAATACTATCCAAGTCATGGATCTAGGAGACTCCCTTTAAAGAGAAGGCTTGCTAGATGTTCTGGCAACAAGGCCCTAAGAGGACAAAAAGATGATCCAGTTACAGATGGCTGTGACACCAGTGCTCCCTCAGAAGTCCACAAAGCAGTCCCAGCCTCTGTGCTTCGGGATGGCCCAAGATATATAGTGGGATTCTTGGAGTTAGGACAAGCATCCTTATACCCTAAATCCAGTCTGGTGAGGATAAGAGTTTCCTGGGATTATAAAATAGATTACATGTAGAAGCTAAAATGGCTGCTAGGGGCACATATCAAAGAATATTGAAATAAAGCTTCTCATGACCAGGCCACATAGACAACCTGGAGTCATTGTCCAAATGAGAACACAGACCTGAAACTGCAGGCAGAGGTTCACAGTGCTGTTCATACCTGGCTTCTCATTAGCTAAATCTCTAGGTAGCAGGTGGTTTGGGTATAAGCTAGGGAAGGCCCTGGCTTTCCAACATGTAGCAGCTAGGTAGGTTACAGGCAGGGGAAAGAAAGGATACCACCATGTCAAATGGCCAGGGGCTGTAAGAGGGCCTCACAGGAAAGAAAGTCAGTGTTACAAGACTATTTCAAGACAGATTGATGCAAGACAGATGGTCTTGGAATTAGGTAATGAACAGATTTTTTGGAGTTAAATTTAAGCAGGATGAAGTGGTCCCAGTTTTCTCTGAAAAGTAGTGGTACTGCTGTTAAGTAGAATGAGGATAAAGGTTGACGGAAGGTGGGTGTCCACATAGCATCCAAGAGACACAACTAAAAACATGTCAGCTGAGACTAAAAAGCACAAGACCAATCAGCTTTGTTTGTGCCTTTCTCTAGCTAGTCTAGGAAACCACAGAAGGGCATGAGTGATTCTAAGGACCATTCAGGGTGGGAATTGGGAACAGAGAAGCCTCTGTGTGGTCACAGGAACAAGAAGCCTGATGGAAGGAAGAGGATAGAAGTTGTTTGTACAGCGCTCACCAGGGAAGGTCACCAAAGAGGCAGAAGGATGGGCTAAGATCAAATCAAAGATTGGTGGTGAAAGTGAAGCTTTTAAAATGAAAACTGAAAACACAGGAATAATGAACAGCAAAGCCCATATACTTATCTACAACACTAAACAATTCAAGGCCCATCAAGCATATCAATAGTGTAGGCCAACTATGACAATGAGAGACTTAGGATGTGAAGTGCTAGAGACTGAGAGATAGAATCTACTGTATGACGACTCTCACCAGTAGCAATGACCAAGGCAAGGGATATCCATTAACTGCTGAATGATGACACTTTCTACTTGGTAGAAAAGGAAAACTGGGCTAGGATGGGTATGATAACAAAGATCAAGAGAATGACAACTGCTCAAAGGTTTGTCAAACTCTAGAAGAGAAACTAGAGTGTGGAGGTAGGTTAGTGACAGTGACAAATACAGTAGGCTATGGGTAGCCTATGGTAGAGGGCTGGTAGGAAAAGATGAAGTGGTTCTTAAAGTGAGAAGTTTAATACTAGAAAAAAATAGTGAATTACCTAGTTTCCCATGGAAAACCAGGCTGTGTGTGTGTGTGTGTGTGTGTGTGTGTGTGTTTGTGTTTTAAGCGCGCGCACTTTAAAATCCTTTTTGGGAGGTAAAAGGAAATCTTTTCAGTAAGAGGATGAGAATGGAATTTCCCTGAATACACCAAGGAAAAGATAAGCAGAGGCTGGTAGGTATACAGGAAAGAATTTATGTTTTCAGTGATAATGAGGTTTAAGGAGATTTAGGATCTTAGGGATGCTACTATAACAGCCTCGGTCTCTCTCGTGCGCGCTCCCTCTCTCTCTCTCTCTCTCTCTCTCTCTCTCTCTCTCTCTCTCTCTC